CCTAGGCAGCTGCTCCAGAGCTTCCTTAACAGAAGGCTTGCTAAATTAGATGACTCCATTTTGCTAAAAAGGCCGTGTCTTGTATAATTGATGCAGAGGAGCTCAGTGCTCTATAGCCTAAGGGTCCACAACCTTTCACCGATGGAGAATTAGTGGAATGTTTCTAAGGCCTTTCAGGGAATGCTGGTAACAGGGAATTACCATAATGATCAAACATCTGGGATTCTAATTTGAAAGCCTTGATGTTTAATTAATATCCCAAACCCCTAATCACCAGCTAATCTGTCTTTGTTCAATTCAACACAGTGATAAAGAGACCATTCCACCCTGTCCTTTTTTTTCAACGTAGCAGCGATGGCAGCTGATATTTGCAATGGTGATAGTTGTAGCAAATTGACAGTAAAGATGTTCAGATGAGTTGGAGAGGTTGTTTCATTAGAGAAAATGATTGCTAAATTGATTTTAAGGTCTGGGAGTTAGTGACCTACTGAGACAACTGTAACAAGTTGTTGGGAAAGATTTAAATATTGTGTAAGACCCTTCATATGATGCAACTGTACTCAGAAGAGGGAGAAATTGCAAGACAATGGTTTATGTTATAAAAATGTATATCTCAAGCCTTCGTGTTTATACTTTCATGTTTATTCTGCTCTATAAAAATGTGTTAAAGATTTACTAATGAGGATGTCCAGTGGCTTGGAAGCTCAGTCACTCTCAACAGAGTAAATGAGCATATAATAGTAATCACACTTATCATCTGTTAAGACAGTTAAGAGCAGACCATCAGCATTGTTCTGATTAAATTGTAAATCTTCATTTGCCAGTTTAAGCTTGGGAGGGAAGGCAGACGATACTGAGTTAATGGCTGTGTAGAGATAAGTGAAATAAGAGATATTGAAACTTATCAATATTTTTATTTTGTATTTGAGTGAAGTTGGGCACGGGCAGTTTAGGACACTCAGCTCAGGTCAGACAACAAAAGCGGATGCAGAACACAAACCAGGTCTGGTTGCCAATGGAATGAGCTCTTTACTGAAGCCTGCTAGCATTGTTTACCTTCAGGATAATAACACCAACACTGCTACTCGGTGTTTCAGTCTTAGGCTTAAGTATACTTATTCTCTTGAATAATTTGAATAATTCACTGTTATGGAAGTTGGAAAAGAAGCTACATTGCTTGTATGGAAAATCTCCTCCTTAGTGTCTTTGTGCTCCACTGCTCAAACCTCTGTTTCTGACTGCATCAGAACAGGGATGAATAAAACGTGTGAGGCTGCATGAGTTTCTCACATCATCCTGTGCCTAATTATCATAATAAAAATACGAAAAGCAAACTATGGAATTGCAGGGAGCAGCTTTCTTTGGATTGGCCACGACTGAAGAGCTCTGCGGAGGACCCGCAGGCCCCCTCAGGCACTTTCAGCCCCGAACACTTCCAGCCACAGTCACCACGGGGCTCGGCTCCATCTGGCCTGAAAGATTATCTCTGCAGACTCCCTGATCAGAAGAGAGTAACAGCTGCTAAAATATAAAAGTCTCGGAGTGATGATCGAATACAAAGTCAGTTTTGTTTAGAATTCCTTTGGAAGGATGGGCAGGGAGACTCACCAGCAGTTTGACACAGGACAGCAACACTCATAGCCCCCTTTAATCTGTTGGAGAGAAATAAAATGCTAAGAGCAGAATTTTCAACAATGGCCTAAGGAAATAGAAGGAAGAGGAGAGATTTGAGCTAAGAGTAGCAAGAGATATTTTGTGCTAGCACTGACTGGTACACTCCAGGCCAAGGCCAAGTAATGCGGCCTGGCCCTAGAAGCAAATCCTTTGGAAGGTGTGACCAGCAGAAGTGATGAGCTAGGTGATCTAAAACACTTTTTCTCCCATAGCTCAGAGCAGCATGTCCTTACGTTCCATGTTCCCAATGCTTCCAGCACTCGTGACCTCCAGTTTACAACTCAATTGCAAAGGAAAAATAAAAGCTGGGTTAGCCCTAAAGGAAACCAGAAATACACAGATTATTTTTATCCAATGTTTTAGTAACATGTTTTGATAGCCAATTAGGTCTTCACTACATTCACAGTGTACCATTATGCCGTAACACCAAAAGCCACTGATTTACATGGCTGTTTTATATGCTATTATATTCTGTGATGACATTTGTTTGAAGAGTTGAAAGGGGAAGGTGTCAGTACAAAAATAACTCTGTGGGTTACTGCAGTGTATTCTGGGATTTGAAAATGACAGGAAGCCACGAAATGTTTGGAAACTTCTCTGGACTTCCTCCAGAGTCCTCTAGAGACTGC